TGTTCCGAAATATATTTGTTATTCTAAAAGCACCGGCAATATGAATGGCGAATTCCTCTGCCCACTTACTGGCCTGAATGATTTCGACATTCTTGGCGCAGCTCCGATAATCTGAGAAAAAATAAACGAGCGTCAACGTAAATAAGCCCACTCCGAGTTGAAAGTGCGCACTCGGCGCGGCGGCCGGCGGTGCCACGACAAATAAATCACGTCGATATGGTACGCTCGGGATAACGTATTTTTACGCAACAGGCTCTTTGTTTATAGCTAGTAACGTCGTCCAACAGACGGCTGGTTATTCAACCGGGCGCATTCCGCGACGGCTCCACTTTTTGCTCGGCCTCGGAGCTCGGCCGCCGGCCGTCCTCCTCGCCGGTGAAAAACGACCAATTAGAGCTTTTACGGCAGGAATTAACATCGCGCATTGTCCACGACAGCGCGCCGCCGCCGACTGCCGACTGCCGGCTTACGCTGTACCTAACTACTTACACTTTTATCTCACAATGAATACTTGGACGATCTTGTCTTGGCAACCCTCACACAAAAACAAATATACATAGATACTTACGTTTTGCTGACGTTCTGAATTATGCACATTATGTGTTCGTTTATCTGAAGGAAGATGTTCCCATTGATGCGAGGTAATAGCTGTGGCGCCGCTGCGGCGAGCCGACTCTATTGTTTACTCGCCATCAGCCATACACCCGCTTACAAGACACCTAATAGAATGAAAAACCTTTTAGCACTTACCGGAGACATTTTGAAGTAAACAAAAACAAATAAAGCAAGATACACCTACATTGTCCCTACTTAGGTACATATCTCTGCCATTTACAATATAATTATATTTAGGTACATTGTAAGAAACCTCCAATGAGGAAAACTGTACGACTAAAGTTCATTTAGTACCTACTTACAGTACATATTTCAGAAATCATTGAATATTTTAGTATGAAACAATTAAAGTTACATAAACATATAACAATTTACTGGATATTTTAGCTGGACACACAATGACACAACTGGGAAAATCACCCACACATTCTATATCCGTAACATACCTAATTAAGTACATAAAGTTAATACCGAACGAGAAAATAATTGACAACATAAAAAACACGTGCATTCTAATTCTGGAGTGTTTTGATTAGTCACATCGATTCGTTTTAATCTGGAGGCCTAGTGTCGGACAATGTATCAATAAAAAGTAAAAAAGAAACAGTTTATGGTCGAACATGGCCCCCGAGCACTGACGCCAATAAAACCGATCAACGCAGACGTAGTGTGGCGATAGCAACGACTTACTAACAAATTATTCGATTTTAGAAATCAATTAAAATTCAAAATCTGTTAAAAATTATAGAATATTATTATTTTAAGCTAGATAGGTATCAAGGGCCTTTTTTAATTCAAATACGTATATCAGAACACGAAGGAATTTATTTATAACAATTATTAAGCGTACTTTTTGTATAATCTATTTTCGTAGCATTTGTAACAATCCAGGTACAAAGGACCGACAGTAAACGTGGGCTCTTTAGCTAGGTAGGTACTACCCACTTAACATTATGAATTTATGAAAGTTTCGCCTGAAGTCTAACAGGTAACAGGTCTAATGAAACAACACTCGAATAACAGCTTGGCATTTAAAAAATAAACATGTATTTGATATATGAAGTACTATAAACACGACCTTTACAAAGGATTGAAGAAAAACAATCTTGGGGGAAATACACGCTTTTTCTGCCCTTACAACTTTCAGGTTTTCCTTTTTAACATTCTCTGTAGGTTACTTATTTATAAAAGTACGGTTAATACATATGTTTCAGATGTTTAGCTGTTTCTGGTAACCGTACGGCCGCACATCACAAAAAGTTAACTCCCGGGGCGCACCATCAACATTATTTACATTTTTTTTATTTTACGGCAAAGTGGTGTCGAATTACTATCTCGGAATGTTTAGTAGAGCCAGACACTAGACGCGACGGGACACAGGAATGTGCCGCTTAAATTCCCTTTAGGAATTATGTGACATCTTTTTACTACAATTTACTCTTTATAGCCTCTGCAAAACTCCATAATATGTTGTTCATGATTAATTTTCCTTGAATCAGCCAGCTACAAGTCGGTAAATTAAGAATTTAAACGAAACAACTTCGCAGTGACATAATAACTCGAAGCACTTATCTAAAAATTTTACGCACGTGAATTCATTGGCGTTACACGTGTTACAGATACAACATACTATGTTTAATTCACATTTAATGCCATAAAACAACCAATAAGGTTACATAAAGAGTCCTATAAAATGGCCTCCGATCGCGAAAATTGCACAATTATTCCTAAATCGTGTCAAAATGGGACGGAATTAGCATTAGACCTTGTATTTATTACGAATTCAAATCATCTGATTGATATAGTCTTATTCAATGAATGTTAATATTAGTCACATGTTAATGCTTGTTCTGGTTAAATCTCAACATGGTAAATGAGACATTCATTAGAAAAAGATATATTTAGAATAAACATGTAAGTATCACGTGTGGCTATAAAAACTTTGATTTGATTTGCTACGATTTCGTTCAAAACGACTGACGATAAAGTACTCTTTAATTTACGCTAAGTTTCTTTACCAAATATGACTAAGCGTACCTTAGTATTAATATTTCTTCTTATGTTAAATAAATTTAATCTTTTTATGTTGTCCCTAAACAGCCTAATGGTTTTACAGCTTGGTATGGAAGCTTAGAATTCAATTACAGTACAAAAATAGTGTACTTACCTATACCTAGATATCAAGAGTAGATGAAGCCAAAGGCTTAAGAAAGAAATAGGACTTTATTTTCAAAACAATAAACATTATTTTCTTTAATTAACAATAGTAATTGAACGTACCACATCTGCTTACCTACATGTTACTCTCCGTAAGTAAATACCATTCAATTCCATTCAATAAGCAAGTAAGAAGGTACTTAAGCGATGACATTGATACCGTTCAAGTTGTACGAAGCCAACATTAATTAACTTTAAGTTAAATTACAGTCGACATGTGACGATTAATCGGCACGTTACCGCAATTATTTAGTTGACTAAGATAACATTTAATAGGCCATGTGAACGGTGAGAATTAAATTTCATTGATATCACAACTATAAAGCATATCATTTACGAATATCAATCATCGACAGTCTACCTGAGCAGTATCTACCCATATCTAAATTGGGAAAGACCCGTCACTAAAAAAATCGGTACCTGTGTCGCCTGGCGTCACCAAACCCTGTCAGATTTACTACGAAACTACGTTTGGTATAAAAAATTACAATTTAGTATGAAGTGGCGCTTAGTTGTAAGTTGTATTGTGTGTTACAATGCGTGGAGTGGCTTGAGAGCGGCGCTATACGACTATTATGATCCATCGGAGTATTCCCAGGTACCTGACGTGCCCAGTACCCGTCAGCCCGTTAAATTCGCTGTCTCCGACAATATACGCAGTGTGGGTGTGCCCTACAAATAGACAAGGATAATTGCTATCCAACTGTTCACATTGGTACTTATTGTAAGTGAGAAAGACGCTCATTTACAACAACGCCGCTTGGTAATAATATCACCGTCTAAATAACTGAACGTTGAAATAATAAAACTTTAATATTACATGTACATTTTCCTTTATGAAAATTACAATGAGAACCTTACCTACCTACTGTTTTTAGTTATTCAATTTAAATTAGCTTTTGAATGTCAAATAAGGCTTTACGTTTAGAGAATTGTAGTTGATTATTCTGTATCTATATAGAAAAAAGCGACGCAAATTTCATAAAAGATATTTCACACATCATTTTTATCTAGCGTAAACATTATCTCGAATAAAAAATGGTTTTCAGTCATATCATCGTTCATGTGAACGCCATAAATGTTTTCACATAAAAACTGGTGTAAGAACGGAGTTCTCACACGGACATTCATTAGTCGCAGCTCACAAAGCACAATGGACATATTGGGCCCATGTGTGCAGAACCCTTCACGGACGATTGTGTCCACATTGTGCCCAAATCACAAATTTTACCGAAATACTGTCAAAAGAGCAACACCGACTTTTGCACTTCATCAAAAATAAATTTATCTGGAAATAATATACTATACCGTCCCAACCTGTTGGGCCCTTATTGTTCGTAACTACACAATGCCTTGAAAAAAATCGCCTTCACCGTTTTTGCACCCCATTGTGAGTAAACCTTACACCAAACTGAATTATTGTTTTTAACCAAGTTTTTATGAGACGTTTTCGAGTGGCCCGTGAATAGATTCTTTCAAAATGACCATTTCATTGTTTGTTCAATTCAGAATGCCACATTACCTTGTTCAACGGATTTTTTTCTACAGGTGGAATTGTATTGAAAAGCGAATATGAATGTTTAACAAAGATTAAATTTGGAGCATTGTTACTGAAATAACAAGGTTCGCTAATACTCTTATGCATAACCATGCGACATTATGTCATTTTGCGCAGAAGTACCCAATAATTTTCCACAAATAGGCTGTATACATGGACTATGAAGCAACTGTTAACTATATTTAGGACTTTTTATAGTTTAAATAGATGATGAAGCTACCTATAATTAATTTGGGGTTTTATTAGGTGTCTATTAATAATATCACGAAGTCTTTTGTTTTTGTAAGTCTCCAATTAACCTACTCGCCGGCTACTATAAGGCCCGTAGTAAAACCAGCGTAAAGTGGGTGTAATTTAATGTGTATCCTTTTAATGCTTTAACCATGTTATATTCAATTGCGTATTAACAACTAAAATCAAAGAATCCTTGAAGAAAAATGCCTAAGTCCAAATATATGTAAATGTCAAGGAATTCAAGAATTTCCTTATTCCATACTACCCACCTGTTGGATGTGGAATGAGAATCTCCATCAAATCTGCCTCTATATGCCCTCTGTTGGAGAGACGGCGAACTATTAGTATTACTACTCTACATAATATCAAGGCTACAACGCCAGTGTAGGACACGATACTTAGGATATACAACAGATGGCGCTTGCATCGATGTAAACAGACATAACCTCGGTAGCAACCTTTTTGATGAAAACTTCGTGATTTAATAACCATCAATGTCTTTTGTAAGTCAACCTTCAAGTAGACGTCAAACAAAAATACAGAAACGGTCACGTAATGCAGTGAGCGCCAAGAATAATTATTTTTAATATAAGAAAAAAAATACTATAAAAATATTTCCGTACAATGTCAGGAATATTCCACAAGAGCTGTTACACGGCACGTAGCTCTGGATACAAGTATCGGACCCTGTCCACGAACACTGGAGAGCGAGCAAAACGACACGAAAGAGAGGAAAATGGCTTAGACAAGAAATTCAAAGAATTGAGGAGAGCAATCACTATGAGAGTTAACAAAGAAGTAGACGAAACACACAAAGCTAGAGAATCCATACTGAATAAGTTCGAAAAACTGGATACTAAAATAACTTCGATGATAGAGTTGCAGAACACAGTAGCTTTGTTAAGGAAAGATTTGCGTTCTGTGGGATACGCTTTGCGGCAAATGGGTAGCAAAGTGGACAACATCGAAAACTTGAATTCTCGTACAGAAATGTATAGTTTACAGTCTCAAAGACTGTCTCTGAGGTCCCAAGCTCCTGCAATAAAGGAGGAGGCTGAAGACCGTGACTCGATAGTAACTCACATTTAGTTCTCTAGTGGTTGTGACGCATATATTAATGCATTTGTTTAAGTACGCACAATTATATCTAAACTATTGTTCTGTTATCAATGCTGTCGAAAGGTTAAGTAATTATTGCATTATACGGAAATGTTTTCATATGTAACTCTTCATGATACGTATTTTATTTTCAATTCTGTACCTACAACAAGAAAACTACGTAAGTACGATGCAGACTACTTAGAATACTTACGTTTTCCCGTTGCATTTTTCTTTTAAATCTATCTAGTTATGTGTTTTATAGTGATGACGTTGGAAACATTCAAATAATGTAAGTACGATGGTGCATCTATCGACACTCCACATACATACAGACTCACTAGGTACATCTTATTTCTTAATTTTCTTTTTCAATCTTAAACATGGTGTTTTCCTTTAAATAGGTATACGTTGCAATGTAATATTAGCTACAGTTTATTGCCAATCACAGTGACAAACTAAACTTGGTTGCACTCGAAATTCTAAACTTTATATATCTTACCTGATCGAACCTCAGACTAGATTATTCTTAGAAGGGATATAATATTCACCCTCAAGTTCAAACCCCAGTCTAGACTGAGTTCCCCTGAGAAAAATATAATACATTTAGATACATAGGAATCTGCTACCCAACCCCTAATGAACAAAGTTAGATTCTGCCCTCACGTTGGGGCTATGGCTTTTGACATATCGATAAAAAAAATCACCTGTGCTGTTATATTTATATTCTGTGCTGTTTGCATCACAGAACATATAAAGAAGATTTATATGTTCTGTGGTTCGCATTGTATTTTTCACTCGCATTATGAAAATTGGACTCATATATAAATGTCAAAAAAAATTAACATGAAATACAAGCCAAATTGGCTTCAAAGAACAAAATTCATTAATTTTGTTATCTTTGAATAAGATCAAAGTTTAAGCATGTATATGACCTGATATCTGGTTCTTTTAGTCAGGGAGTTGAACCCAAGACCTCAACCTCAACAGGTGCGCTAGCAATCGCTTAGCTTACAAGATAGGCAGGTTGACAGGGGTATAAGGTAGAAAATAATAAAAGCTTTCGTTTTAATATTTTAACATCATATATTTTGTCTCAAGATCGGTTCCCTTGACAGCTCTGAGCCGAACATATAGTTCATGATTATAATAAATTATTATTCAATACATTTTCGAAAAAATCTCCAATACAATCTCAATTCACATTAATAATCGTTTAAAACGGACATAATACATTGAATAAGTAATTTAATTACATAAAAAGCATTTTTTTTTTCAATTTGCTAAAGATGCGAAGAATGGAGAGTGACTCTCAAATCTCAATAATTTGAAGTTTTACGACATCGAAACATATTATATTATTATTATGTAATTTAAGACCACATCCTATATGGCACAATTTAAAATTGATAAACTTATACAATTGAAGCTATATTTTAAACGCAATCCGTTCTGGGAACGTTTGTTTCCAACAAATACTTATACACTTAAAATCCTTGACATATTAATGTACTTGGTATACGACTAGTGAATATTTAGGTAACTATTTCGCTAAATTATGGAAGAATTATACTAAACAATTTACCTAAATTTAACTAAGCGAAGCTACTAAGTAATTAACGAAGAGGGTATCTAATATAATGGTGCTTTGTTTCAGTGAGAAAATGTATTTATTCGCTTTTTTGTTTGAACGACAATTTGCTATCGTAAGCGGTCAGACATGTTAAAATTATTTATTAGATATCCTCTCCATACACCTAGAACACAATATAATATATAATTATCAATAAATGCAACAAAATTTGATTATCAACAACAAAATGAATCGTACGTAACTAAACAACGACAATTTGTGCACCAATTAATTTCACCAAAATATTCATAAATGCAAATTGTTTTAAACAATTTGATATGTCACCATAAACAAATTAACGCGTCGTAATCATAAAAATAAGTATTACATACAAATATCACAACATACAAATATTCTACTACATGAAGACGCGAAATTGCGTATATTTCGTTTACTTCTAACATTTCACTATCATTCAGATTATCCAGCCGCAAGCAAACTAATCGTAAACTATAAATGAACACAGACTTAAAATGGACATCATAATATTTACTCAAACCCTCTACTAAATGTCAGCTGCATAAATAAAGTATAATTATATAATTAACTAAATATACATTAAATCATAGCTAAGTACCACAAAGCTAAAATACTCAAACGTCATATAAATACATTTATTACGAATAGTTATAATTTGGATTCGTAAAAAAATACAAAAGATGGCAATCTTTACTATCTCAACCTCTCCACGTCTATCCAAATATAAACCAAACTATTATTTAAACTGGTTATAAGTCGGACCATACACTTATATTACACATAATTTCCACATTAATTTAACATGTAATTTTACACCAATAGAAAGTCAGATAGACAGGAAAGATTTAAGAAGTTTTTCATAAGTATAGTTAGAGTTTTGTCACTTCAGTACTTAACACTCAGTCGAAATCTTATTTTAACGTTAATGTCAGTTTTGTCCACATATTTCTCAATACATCAACCTTACACGTAGGTTGGCTCCCTGTCTCAGTCAAACAGACAAATGAAAGCACGTAATAGTCCCTCGCCGAAGCACGCGCAGCATCCTTTCTTCTTGCGCTTCTCTTCAGGGGCAAAGCTAGGCTGCTTGGGGCGCTTAGGGCGGCGGGCACACAGCTTGCTGGGCTGTGGCTCCTCCACTGGCGGCTCGGAGCGCGGGCTCAGGTGCACGGGCAGCGCTGCAGGCTCGGTTGGTCGCGGTCGTGCCCAGCGACGCAGCAGGGACTCCTGTTCTGCACCTACTGGCACTGGCGCCGACAATTTGCGAGCTCGTGCCGTCACTAGAGCTCGCTCCATTGGCTCCAATAACTCCAAAGAAAGTGCTCGATCTAGCTCTTCACCCGACAGTAGCAAGTAGCGCGGGCAGTACGCAAGCTCACCAAGAGCCGCCCTCTTGTTGGCTGACGTCAACTCCCGCTTTGTACGCTTGCAAGCTGCTGTTGCCCATCGCGAAAGGGCCTCGGCCAATACAAGCTCACTGGATACACGTAATGTGTCTCGTTTTACAATAAGCGCCAAATCTTCGTAAGTAAGGTCTTCCAAGCGTTCATCATTCAGCGCGGTATCTGCGTCATCATCGAGCACCAGCAGAGCATTGTGGGCTAACGAGTCGCACCAGCGGGAACATTGCGCCAGCGACCGAGCTGCTGCGTCATCTGACAGAGCTGGCAGAGGAGGTGCAGATGCAGCGCCGGGTAGTCTTGCACAAAGGAATCGTAAGTCTCGCAATATCTCGAGCGCTACACCAGCATCTAACATTTCGTCTAGACGTCGAGCGCATCGCTCTGCTAACGGAGAGCAAAGGAACTTGTAGGCCGCATCGAGTGCGCACCGAGCCGTAGCCACGGAGTTGAGTTGTGTGGGCTCACAGTAGTGGTAGCGCAGCAGCTGCTCGAAGCCGCGCCGGTCGATGTAGTCGACGACGATAACATCGGTCTTACAGGCCAGCAGCGCGGCGAACACGGGGCTGGTAGCGGCTAGCACGCGGCGGTGGCCGGGGTAGCGCCACGTGTCGCCGTTGATGCCAGCCACGAATACGATGTCGGATTGCTTCTCGTCGTCGTAGAGGCGAGCGTGCTCCTCCACGTCCAAGTTGCCCGCATACTCTCCCACCACGCTCTCGCGACCAGACTCGATCTCATCATCCGAGTTGGTCCTCGCTGGATTAGTCACCACCGTCATTGTGATTTTCTTTTGATTGCACTACCTGAAATAGAAGACATAGTTTCATTAGAATAATTCTTTATTATGAAACGTTTATCGTAACGGGAAACATGTAAACAATATTTTGGCGATGTTAATATCCACGCAGCTACGTGTTTCTGTTACGTCTGCATTGAACATTAAACAATCAATAGAGCACAATAAACTAAACGTATTGTTACTTTTATAATGTTCTTTGAAGTCCTTCCTTGTGGTAGACGCTAAGTGACGTTAGTTAACGTACTGTTAATGCCTCTTATTATATCCTGTATGAACATATCAGTATCGTGTTAAGAATCGTTATTACTCAGTTTGTATTACGAATCATCTCTACGTGTTAAATACGGTACCAAGGGCAGTGGTATCTGGTGTTTAAGCTTGAAGATAAACAATCCAATTTTAGTGCCACGCGACCTTACGTTGCAGGGTATTATACCATCGAAAAAATATATTTTTAACTAGTGCGTCCATTGCACCGAACCGACGTTACTCGTATTAAAAAATGCAGTGACCTAGATTCCGGGCGACACTTGCATGTCATCGTTCAGTGATCTAGTTTATGAATCCATTGCACTATGGTATCCTTATACTAGTAGCCATTCCTTATTAACAGGAGTCAAAATAGTTTATCAAATAGAACTTTTATCTACTAATTGATATTTTCTGGTATTTTGTACATAGCAGGCAAACTAGGACTACGAATGAAATAATGCAAAGGTTCCGTCAATGCCTAAGCGTTAGATATTGACGAATTATCTTTGTTGATAACTAAAGTAAATCAAGAGGGAACTTAATACCTATTAGTTATTCGGAAGCTGGCGGCTATCCTTCAATTAGCAGCGACGGCACGCGCCGATTAAATTGCCTTGATTGAATTTGTTCAGTTGAGTTACAGATTAAGTTACTGGCTTATTGAAATACTATTTAATATCCAAGACGGGTTCTTGAATAACTTTGTATGTATATAATCTGTCTCAGACTTAGCTAGGTTTTTCTCAAACTGTAATATTAGTGTGGTTGTCGGTTGAGTACGACTGTCCAGTTATCAATGTTGATTTGACGAGCTTTTTCTTTATCTTGATCAAAGGCTACATACTATTTAAGTTTCATAAGAGACCATATTGAGAAGCCAGAAGCACAAGAAGCTGATATTGTGTCACCCGAAAACAGTTGTGTGATTCAAATTAAATAGAAAAATTATTTAGCCAATGAATCTGTTTCTGACTTAGAGTCAACCTAGTCTATTGAAAACAGTTAGTAAGTAGCTAGTGCAAGTATCATGAAATGTTTTTAGCCGGGAACAATCGCCTCTGCTAAGTAAATTCCAGTTGATCGCACTCAACGTCCGTTTTGCGAAATGCTCATACGCATGCGTCACTCCACGCATTCCGTGACGCGTAAACAAAAATATACCTATGTAGTATGTACTGAACCAATTCTGGCGATCGTGGGACTCATAAGGTGTTCAGAATAAACAAAGAACGAATAAGATAAACCCTTGATCTTTAAAAATAAATTAGTTCAAGCTCAACTGTTTTGTACGAAAAAACTTTTCAGATCTCATTTAATCGATATATTAATCGATTATATTTGTTAAGAATCACTAAAAAAGTACCATATTTTGAATAGAACTAATAAAAAACACCCATGTCTATATTAGAATTGTAGTTAATTAATACCTAAACTTCAGCAAGACATTTGTGCGTACTTACTTACATGTGTAGGTATGCATTACAGGTACATATAAGTTATCAGAGAATATAGGTAAGTACACAAATACAACTATAATAATGTCGTTTGGTGCTTGGATCCACATTAATGGGACAATAAACAACCTTATCGAAACTGATGTTCAACTAATTGTGCGACAAACTCAGCGTGATCTATCTTTGGCTACTAATCTACTCACGCACCTCATACACACAACATTTCTCTTCGTAATTCTATCATATTCTCTCTACTAATACAATAATGTAAAACTTTGTAAGAATGAGTTTATGGGTGTGTGTTTTCTTGTTACTCTTTTACGCCTAAACAGCTGAACGGATTTGTATGAAACTTGACCCACAGATAGATCTTAATCATAGAGGTTCGCGTGTAAAACCATAGGAAGTTAGTGGGTTACATCCTGAATTATTTTGTCGAAAATGTGACCAGATAATAAGCGTATCGAAGTATGTTAATAGTGCCATTAAACTCAAAACGAACACGGACTACCTATGTGACTTCCAAGAAGAGTGACCCAATTATATTTTACCCAACTAAGTGGTTGATAAAATAGAGATGATTGTATATTTTGAGGAATACATGGTAAAATGATGATTAATTATTGAGAAATAATGATTAAGAAAAACATGAAGTATTGTATTTTGAAAATTTTCTTATAAAGACTAGTTCAATCCGGATTTCAGGAGGGATAACAAAATAATCGTGGATCCATAACTTCTAAACTTCAAAGTAAAGTGACCAGTTCCTGTTAAGAACTACTTTAAAAAGACATATTCAGTTAAAAAAGCATTAATCAAATAGAAAGTCTATAAAACTGATGTTGTATTATGTTATGTCTATAAAATATTTAGCCTAAATTCATTGGTCTGTTGTGCAATGCTTCCCGTGGCATCTTCCTAGTTCGCCAGAAACATATAATGCACCAGAAACAGCTAATGTCGAAACATAGCGACATTTTACGATAGAGCGCGGTTATTTGTGATGCTCCCGGTAACCCATATACATTCGCATAGCCGCGCCGGCTGGATTTGCCCTATATTCCGAGAGTAATACCATTCCATTCGAGTTACGAAAGCACAATAGTTATGGTCGTCTATAAATTAATGACAGGTGAAGTGTGCCTTTGGAATACTACGATTTATATGTAGGTACAGCACTGTTTCTTTGTACAAATGGTACGTATGTAAAAGCTAGTCAAGATTATTTTAAAATTATTTATAATTTAGAAAGAAAATATTTTTCTTTCATGGCAACCTCGACAATCTCAGAATTCTACCCTACCCTACATACCTACGCGAGTAGGTGTTCATCTCAACCTACACGTTCTTGCAAAAACATCTTTAAACATTGTGAAAGAAATACCGAATTAACCCGCTTATCTACCATCAATCTCAATTACGCAAGTCATGTTCCCTAATATTCATTAGTAAATACATTTCAGCCTTACAAGCAACAACCCACGCACTGTGATATGATTAGGAGATCCATTTGTCGTGAAACAAACAGGGAAAGCCACTTTGAACGAGATTCCAGTTAGAAAAGCTATCATAAGTACCTACTTTCTGCACCCTCAAAACGAGTCTAGAGATATTTTATGTCCGTTGTTTGATGGTGGTTAAAGATGCTGCCATTAAAAATAAAGGTACATTTTTTAAACTTAGAGGCAACCTGAATACTACAGGCTTCCTCTACCTGATTGTTTAATCTCCACGCTTGGTGGGGGTTGTAATTCTCAGCTGGAAAGGTTCAGGTTTAACAAAACTTTACTATTGCTTTGGGCTAAAACTCGTACTAAATATATAGCTAGTGAAGAGTAAATAAATAAAAGAATCTCAGCTCTATCTGAAGTAAAAACAAATCAATCGCCAGTCAACCTTGCTAAAATCGATTCGTAAAGTAAACAGCTATTTAATTGCAATAAAATATGAAGGAAAAAAGAAAAAATGGTAAAGGAAAGTCAACCGATTGAAAGAAGTGCCTATAAACAGTATTCTGTATTTACATATCTTATTTACTGATAGAGAATTCATGTTTCTCTTCGTCGAGGCACTTTTGTCTAGTTATTGAAGTATCAGCTGCTTGTTAGTGCTTGTTACTTGTACCTAATCGGTTGGAAACTCGAAGCTGTATCCAACAAAGTTATGAACTGTAATCCTCTTAAAAGTTGTTGTGTTTCGTTCGCTTGTAACAAAACATAAACAAATAGTTGAAATGGAGAAGTTTTACAGAAAAGCTTTTTGTTTTGAATAGACACAAGATCCCATCTCCATTTAAAATGTGTATTATATTTCTGTTATAAAATAATGTGTAACATGATTGTCACGGTTGGATGACGCCCTCAGCACCCGCCATGCGTGGATCCTAACAATTGCTTAACTTGACTTGGATAGGTGAGTGGTAGCCTTGCATCGAACCCAAGGCTTTCTAATTAAACCATCTCGGGATTATCTTTATAATTGATCGGCAGGATACTTTTTAAATACTTCTAATTGGATTACATTGCGCTGTGGGATTTTGTAATTTAGTGCAAATTCTAGCACCTAGTTTTGGAGCTGTGCAATCGGATATCACTCTGAATTTTTTTTTCGAATAAGCATCGAGAATGTAAAAAAATAATTACTACACATTAACTGTGTCTCAATAACGAAAACAAATGTGCTGAACACGTTTTTGGTAAAGTAAAATTAGGTATATGGCCACATGTTCTATTATAGGATATTAAAGCAGCTTTATAATACGAACTGCACTAAATATGTCAGTGTTCAGCAAGTCGCATATAAGAAGAAACATGGCAGATTGGAGCAGGAGTGTCTCTGAATATAGAACGCGGCTGCGACATGCGGAAATGGATGTGCAGTGAATCGACTCCGGCGCACCGTGAGCGCGCATGTGCAAACATGGCCGACGCACCGTCGGTTGCGCAGATATTATCCCAAAATATGGGCAAATAAATAATAATAAGATTAAGTTGAGAATCTAAGTAAATATTGCCGTGATACGCTTTATTATCACAAATGTCGGTTTGCAAACCGACCGAAATTGTGTTCTTATTTGAGCAAATATTTGAAGTGGTACAGTTTACCCGCGATTTAGAGATTACAAGATTTCAAGATTGGTATCTAGTAGAACCTTGATTAAATTACCTACACTATTTACAGAAAACGCTGAAAACAATTAAGCATGTCTAAACATTTGCTCATAAATACGATTCTGTTTCTGATAGTTCCAAATGAATTTGTAGTAACAAGAAAGCTGCGTAATTAATATACAGGTGTT